ATCTGGAAGGATCCTAGCTGTAAAGAAATCAGAATGGTCTTGGAGGTCATCTTCTGGAGTGATGATGCTAGCTAGGCAACTGTTCATCCTTAACTTGCACTGTCGTGTAACAGGATAGACAATAAGACACCTTTTATCTCTGATTTCTAATTCTGGTTTTGATGCATGTTCTGGATGTGTTTGTTTAGCTTCATGCTTTGAAGTTGTGTGTTTTTCTTATTCACTGTTATTCACATGGCTTTTGGTAGTATGGGCTCTTTTAACATCTCATTAATTTTCCATCTGCTGTAGAACTCATTTCTCCCATGAGGTATATAATGTTATCTTATGAAAGTTTTACATCTTCCAAATTTTAGTGATTCAGACTTCCCTTATGGTTTGTTTTTTTAATTTATTTTTTTTTTCCAAAACTGGGTTTAACTCTTATCTTGATAATTAGTTGGGTTTTTTTTATGCTTGGTGATTCTAATCCTTAACTTGGGTCTAAGGCTAGGTTTTAGAAAACTGTTGATCAATGTAGTCATTTTGGATACCTAATGCAAGAGGATAATTTTTGGTGAAAAGTATCTGGAATCTCTCTAAAATAATTCAATTAGGTTCATGTGCCTTCATAATGCAGAACAGCTGTTTTGAATCCTGTTTGTTTTGACCACAGTAGATTGTTCCTTCCGTATAATTTAGGAGTGGTTCTTACTTCATATATTTAGCTGTAAAAACCAGATCATTAAGCACTGAAGTAGCTGTAATTGCCTGTGAACTTTTTCTTTCGGTGAGATCTCTTCTGGATTTGGTATGAAAATATGGGAAGGATGCTTAAAAGGCAAATAACATCCTTCATTTTCCTCCTGCACCTCTCTTGGTATACTCAGAGTGGGTGGATAGCTTATAAATGAAAGCAGCTTTGGGTAATTCAGTGACCTGGTCTTGGCACTGTTGAAGGCAATGATATTTTCCCATTAACTTTAATGGAAGCAGAGTCGAAACTCTTATTTGACATTTCAAAAGTAGTTAAATTTAATACTGTTACAGGCTGGATATTTTACTGTCATTTCACTGGCTCCTTCAGTTTCTTGCACTTTTGTGTCTAAGTGCTGGTGGTGTTTGAATCTGTGAATGTGTGCCTTATAGTTGGGTTTTGTTTATTCAGTGAGTAAATGTTTTCCCTATTGAAGTGAAGCCCTTGCCAAAGGTCATTTGTTAGCTACAGTTACAGATCTTAGTGGGTAGTAAAATCTCAGTCCCATGAGAAATTCTTCCAACTTTTTCTCCTAGTATTATGTACAGTCAGTTTAAACTGCTAAGAAAAAGACAAGTCTCTTTAGTAACTTAGTACAAACACTGTGTGTTTTCACTGTGCATTTACCAATTTTATGTGCAAGGAAACAGCTATTATAGAACTATGTAAGAAACTGTTTCTTTCCTTGTTCATTGTAGAAACCTAGTTGGCATGGAAAAAATACTCATTATAATATATCCTGAGGAAGGCTGGCTGTATTTGAGTTGTCCCTGATGCATGGAAATTTTACATTTTGTACTTTCATATAGCTCTTTAAAAAAGTTTGGTATAAGTAGCTTTGGTGCAAAGAGTTCACCTTTCCTGATGTGTGGAATAGTTAATTAGTCCAGTGGCCTAACCCTTTCCTATGTGGACCTTGTCTCAAATAGAAGTACATACTTAAAAGACACTTTTTGGATATGAAATGTCTGCAGATGACACAGTAAATTAATGGAGGTGGAAGATACTGTAGGGATTATTTTATTCCTCACCTTTGTAGCTTCTCTGGCATGAGAGAGAGATATAGAAATACATCCTTTAATAGCCACATTAAAAAAAAGGCAAAAAAAAAGCCTGTATGCTTGCTTACTTGTCTTCAGTTTGTGATGTTGGAGAATAAACAGAGGGAGTTAGAGATGCATGGGTGCCTGCAGGGCTGTGATCTTACTGGCATCACCGAGACCTGGTGGTATGGCTTCTCTGACTGGAGCATCAGAATGAAGGGTTATAAACTCTTTAGGAAGGAGAGGCAGGAGAGACAAGGTGGTGGTGTTGCCCTCTATGTCAAAGACCAGCTGGAGTGCATGGGCCTTTCCCTGGGGATCGATGAGGAGCCAACAGAGAGTTTATGGACTAAGATTAAGGGGAAGGCAGGCACAGGGAATGTTACAGAGGGGGTCTGCTACAGGCAGCCTGACCAGGAGGACAGTACAGACGAGACACTCTACAGACGAAGACAGGAGCTGCTTTGTGTTTGCAAGCCATAGTACTCATTGGTGACTTCAGCCACCCTGATATCTGTTGGAGGGACAACTCTGCAAAGCACAAATAATCCAGGAGGTTCCTAGAGTGTGTAGATGACAACTTCCTTTTCCAAGTAATCAAGGAGCCAACAGGGAGAGGTGCTATGCTGGACCTTGTTCTCACCAACAAGGAAGGGCTGGTGAGGGATGCTAAGCTGAAGTTCAGCCTTGGTTGTAGCGACCATGAAATGGTGGAGTTCAAGATCCTTAGGGCAGCAAGGAGGGCTCACAGTAAGCTTACTGCTCTTGACTTCAAGAAGGCAGATTTCAGCCTCTTCATGGATCTGCTTGAGAGAATGTAATGAGATAAAGTCCTGGAGGGACAACAAGGAAGGGCTGGTGAGGGATGCTAAGCTGAAGTTCAGCCTTGGTTGTAGCGACCATGAAATGGTGGAGTTCAAGATCCTTAGGGCAGCAAGGAGGGCTCACAGTAAGCTTACTGCTCTTGACTTCAAGAAGGCAGATTTCAGCCTCTTCATGGATCTGCTTGAGAGAATGTAATGAGATAAAGTCCTGGAGGGAAGAGGGGCCCATGAAAGCTGAATTATATTTAAGGATTGCCTTTTTGAGGCCCAAGAGTGATGCATCCCAACTAAGAGAAAGGTAGAAACTCCAGGAGGCTGGCCTGGATGAGCAAGCAGCACCTAGAAAAGCTCAGACTTAAGAAGGAAGCATACAGAGGGTGGAAGCTAGGGTGGGTACCATGGGAGGATTACAGAGAGGTTGTCCAAGCAGCTAGGGATCAGGTTAGGAGAGCCAAATCTCAGATAGAATTAGATCTCACCAGGTTTTTACAGAGCAGTAAGAAAAGCTTCTGTAGGTATGTTGGGGATAAAAGGACAACCAAGGCCCCCCTGAAGGAAGGTAGACAGTATATTGAGAACGCTGAGGTTTTCAGTGACTTATTTGCATCAGTCTCCTCTGGCAAGTGCTCCAGCCTCATCACAAAGGCCACAGCAGGTGAAAGCAGGGACTGGGAGGATGAAACATCCCCCACTGTAGAAGAAGAATAGATTTGTGGCCATCTAAAGAACCTGAAGGTGCACACGTCTATGGGACCTGATGGGGTCCATCCACAGGTTCCCAGGGGGCTGGTGGATGCAGTTTCTGAGCCTCTGTCCATGATACGAGAGGTCATAGCGGTCTGTGTCTGTTGAGGTTCCTGCGGATTGGAAAAAAGGGAACATAGCCCCTGTTTTTAAAAAGGGGAAAAAAGAAGCCCTGGGGAGCCATAGGCTGGTCAGTCTCACCTCTGTGCCTGTGAGATCATGGAACAGATTGTCCTGGAAAATCTGCTAAGGCACAGGGAAAATAAGGAGGTGATTGGTGACAGCCAACATGGCTTCACTAAGGGCAAATCATGCCTGACCAATCTGGTGGCCTTCTATGACAAAGCTACAGAGATGGTGGATGATGACAGAGCAACTGACATCATCTACCTGGATTTGTGCAAGGCATTTGACACTGTCCAACATGACATCCTGGTCTCCATACTGACAAGACATGGATTTGACAGGTGGCCAGTTGGTGGGTAAGTAATTGGCTGGATGGCCTCACCCAGAGAGTTGTGGTCAATGGTTCAGTGTCCAAGCGGAGGCACGTGACAGGTGGTGTTCCTCAGGGGTCAGTATTGGGACCAGTCAGGGGTCAGTATTGGGACCAGTACTGTTCAACATCTTTGTTGGAGACATGGACAGTGGGATTGAGTATATCTTAATCAAGTTTGCTGATGATACCAAGCTGTGTGGTGCAGTTGACACCCTAGAAGGAAGGGACACCATTCAGAGGGACCTTGACAGGCTGGAGAGGTGGACCTGTGCCAATCTCATGAAGTTCAACAAGACCAAGTGTCAATGACCTGCACCTGGGTCGGTGCAACCCCAGGCACAAACACAGGCCGGAGGGGAGAATGGCTGGAGAGCAGTCCTGAGGAGAAGGACTTGGGGATTGTACTTGATGAGAAACTTGACATGAGCTGCCAGTGAGTGCTCACAGCCCAGAGAGCAACTGCATCCTGGGCTGCATCACAAGAAGTGTGGCCAGCAGGGCCAGGGAGGTGATTCTGTCCCTCTGCTCTGGTGAGACCCCACTTGGAGTACTGTGTACAGCTCTGGTGCCCTCAACACAGGAGAGACATGGAGCTGTTGGAGAGGGCTCAGAGAAGGGCCATGAAGATGATCAGAGGGCTGAAGCACCTCTGCTATGAAGACAGGCTGAGAGACTTGCAGCTGTCCAGCCTGGAGAAGAGAAGGCTCCGGGGAGACCTTATAGTGACCTACCTGAAGGGGGCTACAGGAAAGCTGGGGAGGGTCAACATGCAGGTCCTAGCTTCTCTATCATACAGACTTTATTACAAGTCCTTAATCTCTTCAACCCAAAGGAATTTACACCTTTTTTTATTTTTCATTACTGATGTGCAGTTGGCAGTAGAAAATGCCTGCTGTACCTGTAAATCTTACTGCATTAAAATTAGTTGATTTGCACAGGTATAATATATTCTGGTGTCAAAGCACTACCATGTCATTGGAGTGTAGATGCCTTCTCTCCTTCCTTTTCTGTTGTTACAGTATTTCTGAAAGCTGACAGAGACTCTGTCAAAAGGTTTCAAGGCAAAAAGATACAATTTGTTTGGAATGTAATAAATAAGGAGACAAAAATTGTACAACCATACTGAGAGATTTGCCCAGGAGAAGAGACAGGAGCTTGTTTTGTGGACTCTACTGTGTGTGCTTGGCAGCGTGCTTCATTTTGAAAAGGCTTGCTCTGGTAAAAAAGCAGATAACCAGTACAGATGTTTAGAACATCAATATATTTGCCTCAAAGAGTACGTCTCAGGCTATCAGTATATCTCCTGGTCAGTTATTAATCTGCAGAAAGTGGTTTATTGATGCTCAGGGGGAAGCATTTTAGGAGGTGGCTTACTGAAAACGCTGGGTGGAATGCTGGTAAGTGCAGTTCAGCCAATACATGCATGTATCAGTAGAAAATTACAAAGAAAACAGCACCAAAACAGTGATCACAGACATTTACAACTGAGTAACTTCTCTTTTCTGATACATTTTGGAAGTGTTTTGGAGCTTTGTCTAGAAGCCTGAGGCTGGCTTGCTTTACTCACGTTGTCCCACTGAAGTCAATTTGCCTTCTTGGGTGTGCAGAGAGCAAAGGCTTTTGCTGATGGATGGCAGCAATGTCTGCAAATGATCATTTCTCTATCCTAGGTCTGTCCACCTGGTCCCAGCATTCCAGATCGCGGCATCGGAGGACTTCGTGTTCCAGACATGAAGATCGGAAACCTTCTGAGGTATAGCTAGAATTTGGTTTGCATTTGGTATTTTGTCTATCAAATAAATACAAAGCCTTCTACATGTTCTAGTAGTTAGTACATTTCTTCTGATTTATATTTTCTTTCCCTTTTGCTACATTTTAGCTGGCACAAACCCCTTGTCCCTCTTCCATCCCCTCCCCCTGCTTTTATTTTTGTTTGCCAGGAGATTAGGGAGCTCACCTGCTGGCACAGCCACTCTGACACCCATTCAGCATAGCTGTGGAGTCTTTTTGTGGTATTTTAGGCATCAGGGTTTATTTGTAGCTTGATTTGTGAACAGTGAAAATTTAGGTGCATTTATTTCATAGTAGGTATTTAGTTAGGTGTGTGATCTTTGTTAAAGTGCTTGTCAAACTAAAAATCTGCTTCCTGACAGTTCTGTCTTGCATAGCTCTTTGAGGAAGTCCTGTCAAGGGAAATATAAAACTTAGAACTTCCCAGGATGGATCAACTGTTAGTAACACATAAAAGCAATCCAATTCTTTGGAGATACTTTCCCCGAATCTCCCTATCTTCAGGCACTGTGGACTTTGTAGAGGCTGCAAAGAAAGCATTAGCTTTGGGAGACGGAATTGCTCTGTTTTCCTTACTTGCCCAATACGTGTTTTCTGATTCATTTGTGAGTGATTGCTGTTGAGAATAAGCATGCTTTATCAATCTCCCAAATGACAGTGAACCTAAGTCCCAGAGAAGATTTTTCACAAGAAGAATCCCATTCATTCTTCAGTGTGAACTGCACCTGGTACTTTTGTTTTCCAGTCTTCTTTTTTGACTGTTGTTTTGGTTTTTTTTCTTTCTGTTAATGCAGAGACCCCTGGTGAATTTATTCTTGCTGGTGTTAGGCTTGCTTTCCTTAGTTCTCTTTTGTACATCCCTTAGAAGTAGCCCCTTAAACACAGTTTTGAGAACTACCTCATGAAAGGCTGTCAGGAAATAAGCTGAGATAATCACAAATCTTACCGTTATTTTCTGTGTACTTCTGTTTTCTCCTTTCCCTTTTCTTGCATTTGTTGTAAAAATCTTTGCAGTTTTGTGCTGTTCTTTATTGTTTTCCCAGCCTGGATGGACTTCTTATATACTTCCCTTTAGCTCAGTTCCAGTCTTTTCCACTAGTCCCGTCCTCTTTCCATTTCCATTTTCTCTGCTTCCCACAGAACATTCTGATAAGTGTGCTGGCAGAAAAGTGACACTTATAAATTCCTTGGGTGAAATCCTGCTCTCATTGAAGTTGCTGGCAAAATTCCTATTGACTTCAGTGTGGCCAGGGTTTCACCCTTCGGTTTTGAAGTGTTCAGTGCTTCTAAGAGCTGACACTTCTGTAAGCTCTGCTTTGCTCTGGGCACTCTGATTGCATCAGAAATTAGAGCAGAAAGAATGGTGTCACAGGGCCACAGGCCTTTGAAGGAGCTTCTTGGCTGTCAGGTGCTGCATTAGCTTTGCTTTTGAGGTAGTTTTGTGTGACAAATTTCTGAGAGCCTGAGTTACTTTGGCTTTTAGATGGGGCAAGTTTTGCATCCCATTTAATATTTTTAGTTTTCATTTGACATTTGATTCCTTTCATTCAAATCACCTTGAAGTGCAGAATCTCCTGGCCAGCTGTGCTTGTTTGTTTTGTCAGCCAGTTTACTTTGTGGCTTATTTTTCATTTCTTGATTGTAGCCTCCCAAGGCTTGTAATTTGGCTGTTTAAAAGATTTAATTATATTTCATTACCTGTATTCATCCTGTCTTGCATGTGGTAATACTACTCTTTATTTTTTAATGCTGGTAGTTTTTCTGAACATGTCAGGACAAGTGTTAAAGAAAATGTCATTATTTTGTGCTATTTTTAAGACAAAACCAGAGTGGAAATGGAAACATACTGAGACAGAAGTGGGATTGTGTGTGTTGGGAGGGAGATTTCAAGATGTGCACTGTGGTAAGGCAAATCACACTTGGAAATATTCTCAGCAGTATAACTGTTTCCCTAAAATATTTCCCTAGAATCCTAGGGAATCCTAGGGAATCTGTTGAGATTTCAAGTGTGTGAATAGTGAACTACAGAAATTACTGTCCTGCCTAATTAGCCCTCTTTATAGATCTGGTTCTTCCTCAGCCATGTGCAACAGTTGACTGAAGCTAATGTAAAACAGACTTTGTGGCGACTGGTTTGGGACTGGGTAGGAGACTGGGAGGTTTTGTCCCTTTTTCCTATTAACAGCCCCATGAGTCTCTAGAAGCACTGCCTGGACTCTGTCTTTTCCTTTGTAACTTTGCAGTGTGGGGCTGGGTGAACCTTGACCCTGTCTACTACAGAGTGAGCAGTCTGCAGGGGAACTTTTCTTGAGATGTTACCTACCTTTTTCTTGTCCTGATGGTACTTATTTTCTGTCACCTGGTCACTTTTTAACTCTTTCATTTGAATGTGGCGCTTGAGCAGTTAAAAATTTGTGGTTGTGGAGGTGAGGAGTGCTGATGCAGTTGCTGTAGTCTACAGCAGCCTTGCTTGCCTTACTGTGAGAGCAGGGTGGGGAGAGCTGGAAGACAAGTGCTGGCTTGTAGTTCTGATGCCAGTGATAGCAGCACCCTTTGCTTTCTGCAGTGCTGACAGGCAGTGGCAAACCAGGCTGAAGCTGCCACAACAGTACCACAGAATGCCAGCTACAAGAGTGAATCCCTTTTTATTTCATTCTATTGCTGCTTGTTTATGGCTGCTAACCCAAAAGTTGCCAAACATCCTGCTTGTTTTAGAGGTGCACGCCTTTGCAAAGGCAAAGGAAAATTACAGTGATGATGCAAAGGTGTCTGTAGCTGATTGAATGACAAGTGTCTGTGCTGAACATAGAGATGCCACTAGAATTCCAGTTTGGGTCTTACTTTATTTGATTTTTTTGGTTGTTATTTTAAATACTTGCACAGATAGTCATCTCCTTAGAATTTCCTCTTGCGGCTGGTCATGATAGAGTCATGCCTTGATTTCTACCACAGGGAATTTCTAGAATGTCTTTGGATTAGTCAGAGCTCCAATAATCTTTTTTTTTTTTAAAAAAAAAAAAAAAAAGGAGCAAAAATGAGTCTTTGTGCTGCTGTTTCAAGGCGCAAATCTCCTGCAGTGTTTGTTGCAGCCAAAGCGGAGGTAAAAGTACCTTTTAGCAGCTTGTCTCCTGTGCAGGGGGAAAGTCAGGACTTGTAGTGGAGTTAGCTGGCAGTCATTGGTATTTGTACCTTCAGCCACCCCTTTCCCTGCAATGAGGCTCAACTTCTGTCCTGCAGTGGGCTGGATTAGGTCACTGTTGATACAGTGACCTTGTTACACGCTGTGCTCCATGGTTACCCTGAAGCTGTGAATCATAGAGTGTAAATATCAAATGTCAGTGTCTCTATTTTTTCTCTTGGTCACTCTCTTTGCAGGTGTTCAGAACGGACCTGATCACTGCCATGAAGTTACATGACTCCTTCCAGCTGAACCCTGATGAATACTATGTGCTGGCAGACCCCTGGAGGCAGGAGTGGGAAAAGGGAGTTCAGGTGCCAGTTAGCCCAGGGACCATCCCAGAACCAGTAGCCAGGTATAGTTTTGAGGAATGTAAACAAATGCACAAATGTTTATGCTAGCAGCTTGTGTCTACATTGTCTTGGCTTCTTGAGCTTTATTCCAGAGTGCCTAGCTAGAAGGGTCTTGGTTCTCAGAGACAAAAGCAGCCTGCCTCAGCTTTTTGTATGGTTGGAGAGGCCAGCCCTGTTCTGCCTTGTGTGTTGAAATATGAATCACAGAATAATTTTTGGCATTACATTAACATGGTGTGTGATGACAGAACCTTAAAAAAAAGCTTCTATTTTTAAGCCCAGACTTGACCTCACTCAACATTGCTGGGAGAGCCCTTGTCTGATGCTTCTTCTACTCAGTTCCAAGCCATAGATTCCTTTCAAGGAACAGTTAGACAAGCCAAACTGCAGGGCTAGAGAAAATACAGGTTTTATCTTGCTTTTGTTTAATTTTTTGGTTGTTTCATTTACTTAGGAATTTTTTTTCAGCTGTTTTAAGAACCATCCCAGTGTGCATATAACTAAATATATCAATATGAGATTTTCTAACTTTTGTCCAAGAAACCATTATTTTCCTTACCTTATTTGTTACACTTAATGTTTTCTGTTTCAAATTAAGCAGTATAGTTATGAGGGCGGGAATGTGCTGCAGCCCAGAGATCTATTTTATGCTTAGTTGAGATTGGCATTGGAGAAAGTGAGAAGAACATGGATTATTTCCATTTGATCATACTAGATCTCTTTGAGTAAGTCCAGGCTGGCCCATAAGGCATTAGCAAATGACCCACCAGTGTTGGTGGGGCCAGAACAGTCCAATCTTGACATACAGCAAAACGTTCTGGGTGATGCTGCACTGCTTCTGTTAGGTCTGTGCCTGTCAGCTTTAACCTTGGAGTAGAGGGACTACAGGAATGTTTGTTAGTGTTTTTTGTGTTCTGTGTGGCAACCTGCAGACTGCTGCACAGCCCTGCTTGGTCTGTACAGTGAGGAACTTACCAGCACATCAGGTAAACCCTTTCCTTCCTTCCTTCTCCTTCTGAAGGATTGGACCTGGAGCTCCAAGAACTCTGCATTTTCCTCTCTGCTGTGCAGTTTAGAATGTGGGAGCCTACAATTTCCCTGCAGTGCTCACAGCCTGCTCCAGACTGACCTCACCCACTCACTGCGTAAAGGCACATATGTTGCACATGTGTGCTCATGTTGTCTTCTTGCTGCCTTCTCTTTCAAGCATCTCCCAAGGATGTGGGTGGGCTAGAAGACCTGTGCACTTTAGCAGAGGGAGACTTTCCAGGGCATCCCCACCATTTATTTTTCAGGGAGGTAGTTTTGTGGCTATATCAGATCCAGGTACTCACTTAGGAGAGAGCTTTTCTCTGCCAATGGCCAACATATTAAAGGAGTGAAGGAAAGAAGGCACCCAGAGTTAAAGGTATCAGCACAAGTGGCACCACTCTTAGTTGCTGAGTTGTCTTGTATGGTCGTACTGGAGAGCCCCTGCTGGTCAGAACAGCCCTCTGGTGCCTGATTATTATCCTCTTTGCCCTGTCACAGAACACTTGCAGAGCCCTGCAGTGGTTGCAGTGGTTCTGCAACTGTTCTGTGCCTCACTTTGGGGGAGGAGAGAGATGTTCTGTAAACTGAAATCACCAACAGTCAAATAGTAGCTGGTATAGAACAGAAGGAAAATGCAGTACAGATAGCTGATGGTAATTAAATACATAATAGAGAATAAAAGGTTTTTGCCTTGTAGCAACTGGTCAGGGCAGCAAGAGGAGGCCCAGAGGGGTGGGGAGGTGATCAAGTTTGTGGGGAGGCAGTGTGAACATGCAGTCAGATGGATATTTCAGTTGAATGTAGGTTTTGGTACATAGTGTTGAGTTTTAAATATCTTTCTATCAGTAAAATAAAGAGATGAAGGTTTGTTTTGAAGACAAACTACCTGTGCTTATTTCTTCTGTGCCACTACAGTGGTATTTCGACAGCATGTGCAGGGTGCTGTCCACAGGTTGTGATTTCCACATGGAGTGGAAGGAATTTATGGTACAAAGCAGTGCTCAATTTAAAGTAAATTCTGTGAGTTGTGGTAGTTTATAATTAATTCTGTGCAGTGTGACTGGGAGCAGTTTGGCCAGTGCAATTACCCTGGCAGGGTCATTCAGATTCTTCCACAGACCCCTTCTGCACCTCAGAAGCCCCAAACTCAGCATTTGGTTCTTGCTCACTATTTCTTAGATTGTCTGAAATAAGCTAGAAGAGGGGAGGATTTAGGGCTGTGCAGGAGACTGAAAAGGGTAGTGGCTTTACTGAGATCTTTGTGTGCAGATACAGTAGCAGCAAATCAGGGTCTTCTGATAGGAGGAGGAGTTCATACGTTGGACGTCAGATAGGGGCGAAATAGATAGGGGAGGATGTCCTGCTTGTTGTGGAGCTTAGCCTGTTCCCAGCAGAAAGTTGTGTCTACATGGAGTGGTGCTATCTCCTCCCTAGCAGTACTAGAGCACCAAAAAATGATCAGCCCTGGTGCTTTCAGTTGGCTTACAGATAAAATACACTGTCATGGTTGGTTGTTGGCCAACTGGAACTTCCAAAACCTGAGCAAAGGTAGTTTCAGCAGTGGCTCATTAATATTTGTGCTTGGCCCAGCTTGATGTTAGTGATTGTGAAAGAGGAAATGCAGACCCAGGATGCCAGAGCTTGGATCTGCATGGATAAGTGAAGGTGAAGGTGGTGCAAATTACTGATTCTCAGTGGAAAGGCCTTCTGAATTTCACAAAGATGGGAATTTCGTAGTTACACACACACACACACACACACAAAAACTCAGAAGAAAAATACTGTAAGAAAGAAAATGTAAAATGTAGCAGGAAGTACTTACTTGTTCCTTGAATTTTTGTCGTCTTGATATTGTAGCTAAAGAGATTGATTTTTATAAAAGCCTTAAAACAGAGTTTAACATCTGTCTATATGGCTGCCACTGCTACATAAATATGCTGTTCCTACTCTAGCTTTGAAGAAGTGTGTATTTCAGGAAAGAGTAAGCAGAGCTGTGTCCTCTAAACTTTTCGTTTTCATTAGAATTCTAGTAACAAATTTGGTTTCTAGACAATTCCCATTAATTTCTTAACATACCTCCAATCCTTTATGGAAGTGTGCTCTACTGTTGCCTCTTCCCACCTCGGTGGAGCAAGATGATTACTTGGCTGGTTCGATGATTGCTGGTGATTGGTAGTCACTTAGAATGAGGCAGTTTGAATTCTCTGAAAACAAGTCTCTTGGCAGCCCAGCACACCTGACGTCTGCTTGTCTGTCTGTTTTAGGGTTGTGTCTGAGCCCAAAGCTGTCACCTTTACACGTCCCAGGAAGTACATTGTTTCTTCAGGCTCGGAGCCCCCGGAGCTGGGCTATGTCGACATTCGAACCTTAGCAGACAGCGTGTGTCGCTATGACCTCAATGAGGTGGACGTAGCATGGTTGCAACTTGCCAATGAAGAATTCAGGGAAATGGGTGAGCAACCAGTGCTTGTGTTTCTGTTGCTTTTTATTGCTTGTTTGTTTTTTTTTAAAACAGTTAGAAAACCTAAGGATAATCTTAGGCAGTGCAGCTGTGGGAAGAGCTTAGAGGTATGAAGAGATAGTAATCATGTCAGTTGGGGTAGCCATGTGAAACCAGGCCTGATGTGCTTAAGCCCTAAGATACATGATTTTGCAATTGCTGATGTGTATCTGCTTAAGCCAGGTCAGAACCTGGCCATGATTTTTGGTTTTTTTTTGTTTTGTTTTGTTTTTTCTATGCTGCTTTGCATTTAACAAGGGAATTCTCACAAAGTTCCCATTATGCCGTCAAGGTCCTTGAAAAGAACATTGAACAGACTGACTCAGGATCCGCAATTAAACCAGAGATACCAATCAATTAATTTCTCCTGTTAGTCCTTATTTATTTTTCTCTGTCACATACCCATATTGTCTTTTTAGTTAGTGGTGTTCAGAGCAGAGAAGGTCAACAAGAAGTCTAGGGAGGTTTAGAAAACCTGCACTGGCTGAACTGCACAGGGAATGAGACAGGAAGGAATCCCCACAGTGATTTATTGAAGAAACTTCCCAGCCTTATCGTGACTATTGCTCCAGTTCTGAAGCAGGAGGAGGAGCTGTCACAAGGGGAGCAACTGTTCTTTTTTCTACAGGATGGCTTGTGTGTGGGAAGGGGCAGGGGAGCAGGGCAAGAACAGGAACATTACTGTGGTAAGGTATGTACTTTAGGAGATGAGTTCAATGGAACTGACGAGGATGTAAGTCTGCACAGGACTTTTACCACATTGTTTGGGTAAGGGGAAAGATGCTGTGCCAGATGGAAGAAGTTTGGATTTTTGTCTTAACATTGTGGCAGTTCCCTGCTTTGGGTTGCAGTTTAGTTGTACAGGTTTCACCTGGCTGTAGTTTTGGGGTAGTTTCTTTGTAGTTTGTTTGCTCTAAATTTTGATCCACTTAGTTTTGCTTTACGCAGAGTGAAGGAAATGCTCCTGTCAGTACCAGGCAGTATATTATGGGTCTTGAAATATGTACCTGGGTGCTCTATCAGACACTGCACTTTACAGATACTGTTAATGTGCATTTGAAAAGGGAAATATATCCTGATCTGCAGTCATAGCACTTTTTTATGGTGTCCCTGCAGCTATGAGTTCCTTGTATTTTCTTTGGTACTTGTCAGAGTGCTTCAGGTACTGAAAATGTGTGTTCTGTCTTTACAGGAAGAAATGTAAGCATTTGAATTGAAGCCTCAGCCCCTTGATTCCTTCTTCTTAACCCTTATAAACGCACAGCGATATATCTCTAAGGTTTTTTTTAAATAAAGTAATAGCAATCATGAGGTCAGAATTTAGTTGCAAACTGGCCTAAAACCTGCAATCATCTGCTTTGCCAGTGTAGTATTTTGGGCTGCAGAGCAAAATTCACTCCTTTCATCAGCAGGATTTTGGGTGGTTCCTTCTTGCTACCTACCTTTCAGCTGCTTAGTTTGAGTAGTATGGGTTGCATTGATCCCTGCTGCAAGGATTTAGCTGTCAGTAAGGGAAATGGGAGGTAACTTTGTAGAGTGTCTTCTGATCTGGGGGAGATAGGTTATTTCTTCTTCATTTTGTGGAATTTGTGGCTCAGTTATTCACAGGGAGAGCCGAAAGAAGGATTTTCTTGTTAAAATACACATTGTGAGGTTGCCCTCTTCTGTATGTCACAGTAAACACTGGGTATTGGGAATCAACCCAAAAGCAGAATATCCTGAGCCTGCATTTTTTTGTAGTGATTTAAGTGTATGGAGAAACTTGTTCTGAACTGATTTTGCCAGAGGAAAACTATGGTTTGCAGAAGCAAAGCTTTCTTGGTTTCACAGGTGCTTGTGTGGCAGGATTTTGTGGTAAAGGTTGGTGTCATACCAACTTGGAAGATTTGCAGCCAGCTCAGTGTCACAGCAACTGAGAGATGGAAGCCAGAGGGAGGGAAGCACTGTGCTCTTTGGAATTTTTCTTGCTGCTTCTATGATAGACATTTTTCAGGTTTATAATAGTAATTTAATATGATTAACAAATTTGATTTCTGTAACACTATAATGTAATCAGCCTGTAGTTATGGTGTCAGGAGTGATTTTTTTTAACGGATGCTGTTTGAAAAGATCAAATCGCAGATTAGATGTTGGACTTGTTTATTGTCCCAGATTTGATGTTGTAATTATTACAACTGTTTTTCACTATTTTAAGCAAACTTATAAATGGGTGTAACAGGGTCTGCTCGAGACCTCTGTAGGGGTTGCACCCTGTTGGGTTGGAATTTGTAAAAAGTTGTTAGAAACTGCAAGTTTGCTACAAGTCTCATAGCAGATTTTGTTTTTGATTTCTCCTCTCTGCTGTCATCACTTTTAGTTCCAAACACTCTCAAACCTTTCACCAAAGGGTCAACATCTGGGTTACAAGCTGAAGGAAAAGCCATAGGCAGTGCTGTCCCAGGCGGAAAAATTATAAGAACACCAGGAAGCCGAAGTCAGTTTATGGAAGTTTTTCTCAGGATTTTGAAAGATTGATTTGGATACTCTGCTTCTATTAGTTTAATACTGTTACAAGACTTTGATGACTTTTCTTTTTAGTTTCCCTAGTTTATGCTGGAATAGGCATGATGGTCTAGGAATGACATATGTATGTGGGTTGGCTGTATCTACTCAGCTGTTAAGAAAGAAGTTGTAGTCGGTCGTGATTTTCACTCTTTAAATAACAACAACTCCTCTTTGCCAGGGATGTCTGAGCTGGATGAGTACACCATGGAAAGGGTCATAGAGGAGTTTGAAAAACGATGCTATGATAACATGAATCATGCTATTGAGACGGAAGAAGGACTTGGGATTGAATATGATGAAGATGTTGTCTGCGATGTCTGTCAGTCTCCAGATGGAGAAGATGGCAATGAAATGGTGTTTTGTGACAAATGCAATATTTGTGTGCACCAGGTATGGTGGCCAGAGCACAGTGTGTGTGTGTGTGGGGGGGTCTAGGGGTGGTGACAGAAACTTTTCCAAGCCATTAAAGATAAAAGGTTGGATTTTTTCCAGTGACAGGTATTGTGACAAATTATGTAATGGAGAAGCAGAATTGTTACATGTTATTCTAGAAATGTCAAGCTAAGAGGATTAAAAGTGGAATATTGTGTGTGTGTAGGAACTTAGAAGGTGAGGAATAGCCTCTGCAAAACACAGACGTGTTATTGCACCTGGTCACTTCTCTTGCTCTATTCTTTTCCTCTCTGCACACTTTGGGGGCTGGCACACCCTTAATATCAGCAATTTAGGCTCAAAAGGGAGGGGAAAAAAGAACTTCCAGGCAACCAGTAGGGACACAAGTAAGATTTATAATAATCATTTTCATTTGAGAATGTACTGACCCGAGCTGAGCTAATGAAAGCAATATTGTGTGCCACCTTTCTGCAGCAGTTAAGGAGTCTGCTTAGCATGGAAGAACAGATACAATTTTAGCATTACTGTTTCTGTGGATGCCTCTTACTGTGGGAGGTGCCTTCCTATAAATAAGCCTGTGTTTCCTTCCCAGCATTTTCATTCAGTGTTGTGAAATCTGTGTTGTCTGGTGAGCAATAATGGCATTTTCTTGCATGTGTTGCTTAAAGGCATTTATACAAACGGTAAAGAAATACACCTATGACAGCTGTGAAGTGTAAATGGCCATCTTGTGAGACAGAGTAAAGTGGATGTTTTTAGACCATTTTTAGAGTGGTTCTCTGATCCTTAGTCTCTGATATCAAATCTGCACCTTAAGAGGGTTAAAATTGACAGTAATTTGGACCAAGGTCTCCATAAAGATGCAATCTTCTGAAAAACGTGATCTTTCTTAGTTGCTGTTCTGCACTTTTCCCTCTAAATAAGAAGTAAACCCCCCAACAGGGAGTTCTTGAATTTGTGCTTCTTGCCCTTTGAATCACAGTCCAGTTTTTGTTACATTTAGTCTCTGTGATACTGTACTTCATCCTGCCTCACTGCTGGCAGGGCTGTTGTTGGGGGGCCACTCGTTCTTTGGGCTGGCAAAAATATTCTTCATTTACCCAATGGAAGTAGGCAGTGGCTTTTTGCCTAACAGCTGGTCCAGACTTCTGCTTCTCTCACTGGAAGACATTTTGGGAAAACAAATGGGGAAAATGATGGGCTGAATTTATGAAAGCATCCCAGGATCTCTCACAAGTTGATGTTTCTGTAGTGTTAAATTCCATGAAGAACATTTTGAGAGTTGCAAGAGGCTATGTGTAAACAGCTAAAAAGTAACAGAAATGCATGTTGTTACCTTTCTTTCTTTTCCCTTTCCTGTTCATGGGAACACAGGCATGTTACGGGATCCTGAAGGTGCCAGAGGGCAGCTGGCTGTGCAGGACCTGCGCGCTTGGGGTTCAGCCCAAGTGTTTGCTGTGTCCCAAGAAGGGTGGTGCCATGAAGCCAACCCGGAGTGGCACCAAGTGGGTCCACGTTAGCTGTGCTCTGTGGATTCCAGAGGTAGGTGCCAGTTCTCCAGGAGTTCAGGGCTCCACTGAGTCTGGGAGAGAAGAAATCTGTCAAAAACATTGTCCAACTTCGTGGGTGTTGCTACCATGAATGTTACTTATGTATGGTACTTTCCAGGATGAGAGGATAAAAGATTTTCAGTTGGGTATGAAGTCTGGCAGGATGATGCATCATCTGTAGAGACAGAAATTACATTACCTTTGACAACCAAAGTTAGGCCTCAAAAAATGAGGCCTTTTCAGCTAGCAAAGCTCATTTGACAAGGACACGAAGTACCATTTTATTTTGTAAACAGAACATTAAAAGTGAATCAGGAAGGTTTGCTTGTGACAGTGAGAATTCATGTGGTTTCTCATAATCAAAATATTCATCCGGTATGATAATTTTATATTGGAGAGATTCACCTTGAAACTGTTCTGTCCATGCAGTGAGGAACTGATTTTTTAAAAAAGCAATTTCGATTTTTTGAGTTCCTTATAAACTGGAGAACTTGGGTCATGCCAATTTTGCATATGCATACAAGGGATTTGATTTCTTTGATTAAACTGCTTCCTTTTTAATTTAACAGTGTTAATAGCTACTCTGTGTTTTTCTACCTTTTTTCTCTTAGGTGAGCATTGGAAGTCCAGAAAAAATGGAGCCCATTACAAAGGTTTCTCACATTCCCAGCAGTAGATGGGCACTGGTGTGCAGCCTTTGTAATGAAAAAGTTGGCGCTTCTATACAGGTAATTTAATTGCATAAATATCCATCTGTTTTGTCTTGTCAGTTCTCAGTAGGTACACAAAACGTGTATCCACAGTAAACTTGCTTTGATTTCTTATTTGTTACTATTAACTTAATTGCTCAGAGTGTGCTTTCGAATTCGAATATTAGTGTGCTCTTACTGTCTAGAAAAATTTTAATAATAATAACCAGATTGTTCCATAAGACTTCCTGATTTGTTGATATGCTGATTAGTACACTGAAATAAATGTTTTTGAGTAGAGGAAAACCCCTATATTTCTGTGATATTGTACATCTGCAAATGAAGCTTAAATGCTGAAAGCTTTCATGCTGAAACCTATCTGCTAGTCTCTATTTAGCTATTTTTTCTGTAACTAATTGATTGTTGGTCCAGCTTTTAAGTTGCTGAGTATCTGGTAATTTAATGTTAGGCTTTTTGAGCAATAGGAAAGAAACATATTGTTTGACTGGGCTGCCCTGAGATTCAAGCAAGCCACAAGCTGAGGAAATGAGCCTCATTTCCTCCACTGGTTGTAGATAGATTCTGGAGCTCTTGGTGTTTCTAAGGGGAAAAAACCAGTCCTGAGTGTGAGTTTCCCAGTTGAGGTTGCTGTAGCAGTGGTGCCACGTTCCCCTTCTGACTGCTGGTACCTGAGCTCAGGGGTGGTAACTGTCCCGAACAGTGAGGCGGGGCAGAATCAAAACAAATGCCAAGTCATCATAGTTCCAAAAAGAATGATTTCCATATGCAGTAAATAATTAAACTCTAGAGCCAGCACTGTAAAGCTGTTTGTTTCATACCAACAGCTCACATTCTTGGGCCAGTGCCAGTTTGACTCATTGCATACTTCTGAAATTCTCTCTGCAGTTGCAGTTGGATTCAGCCTCTCACCATAGCTTATGAATTGTTGCTAATAAATTACTGAATGGATCTGCACCAGAGCATTTCAGACTGGGCAGCCTAGATTCATATTTGTATGGGGTTGTTAGCTGTAAAGCACTTGCGGAACCTTTACAGTGGCAAATCACTCAGAAATGTTGAAAAATAATTCTAAGAACAATTTTAAACTATAGAGAGAATGAGAAAACACATTACCAAGCCACAGATTTTTTAAGTAGGAGATACTTGGTTCCCTGAGACACAAGACAACTCTGATCTACCTTACTCTTAGAATCATAAAATTACTAAGTTTGGAAGGGACCTTACAGATCATCAGGTTCCAACCTCAGCAGGGACACTTCCCCAGGCTGCACAAAGCCTCATCAAGCCTGGCCATAAACACCTCCAGGGAGAGGGGTTCCACAACCTCCCTGGGCAACCTATTTCAGCACCTTACTATCCTCATGGTGAGGAATTTCTTCCTGACGTCTAACCTAAATCTACCCTCTTTCAGTTTAAAGAACAAATGATAAGAGTAAGGCCCAGTGACCTACTTGGGGTGGTGTTGTGATTGTGTAGAAAAAAAGACAATAAAATGTACCTCAGTATTGTGGTAGTGTTCTTCACCTTCAAAGTACTTAATGTACCTTGGCAAAACAATCCTATGAAAGCTTCCTGAGACATAAAGGAAGATATTAATGTCTCATAAGAAGTCTGAAGTAGAGCTCTCTCTTTTGTGGCTGGTGGGTTACAGGATCCATGATGGTAGGACCAGCATTAAGACAGAAATTTCCTAAAGTCCTACACTTTTTTAAGATTAGGTTTTATCCATTTCCTTTTTCCCTCTGCTTCAAGTCATTTGATGAGGTTTCCAGAAAAAGCTGTAAAACAGCAATGCAGCAGTAGTTCCAGTGAAACCTATCAGTCCGTTTCTACTTAAGGAATGTATAAAATAGTAAATGTTAAGTGGAGAAAATAAATCTGTCCACAGCATATAAATCTGCAATTGTAATACCTCCTTGCAGAGCTGTCCCCTTCCTCTTGGATGCTGTTATGTAGTCAAAACTTCTGTCTGTTCTCCTGACCTGTTTTGAGGGGTAACTTACAGTAGTTTAAGTTGAACACTTGAGTATTTATGTACGTAAGTGTGCAGGGGAAAGGGGGGGTGTCCTTCGGTATTTCTTCCAATACTACCTCTCCCCTTCCAGGGATGACACAGGATGACGTGCAGGCACAATGGCTGCCACTTCAGACAGTTCTACATTTGAAATTGTGGGAGAGAGACAAAAAAAAAAATTACAGCTTTGCCTGACATTTTATAGGAGCTTTGTAAATCTTGTTGTCATTAAAACTAGTAGTGAGAAATATTTAATTTGTGTTGCAAAATTTTATACAGCAGAGAAAAAACATAGAAAGCCATGGCAATAGAAAGGAAGTAGCATTAACTGGATGAACTGAGAGAGTGATCCTCTAAGAGATGCTGAGATGTGCACAACAATTAGAAAAGCTGGCAGTATGGAAGTATGTATCAGGCTGGGCAGAGAGCAGCTGCAATAAGCTGGGAAAAACAAGAGTGGATATTCTCCCAGGTTTAGCAGATTTCCTTCTGATGAAATGGGCTTTCCCCTCTTCTCCCAGTAAAACATTAGCCAGGTGGGGAGAGCTGATTGTTCTGAACAGTGGCTCAAGTACTCTGCTGCAGTGTTCAGTGTTCCAGTTGGGCTGCTTTTGCCCTGGATGTTAGTCAGAGAGGAAAGGGCAAAAGGCGCTTTGGTATTTTTTAATTCCTTTCATATGTTGATTTTATTAAAGAATGCTCATTTGAAACTTCTGCAGTACCTTTATTTGCCACCTGGCTGCCGAGTCAATCTAAACTCCCAGAGGAGAAAGATCTGGCTTCTCTACAAAGTACTGTATAAACATCCTAGTGCAAGGCATTTCTCTTATGGTTAGATGATTTGGGTTAGGCATAGTTTTGTTTCCTCCTAGTTAAGAACACTAATGTTCATTTCCACTTTAAATCGTTTTCACTGGAGGCAGAGGCATGCGTGTGTATATACACAGAAATATATATATACGTAAACCTTTCCTTCTGTGGCTGGTGATAGCTATGGCAGCATTTTGCAAGAGGAAGTTACATGTAATTGAAACAAAGTGCTAAATCAGCTGAACTAGTGCCCGCCAGTTCATGATGGCTGGGTTCACTGGGAAGGAAGAAAAATCACTAAAAAAGGAATTTCCTGTTGTCCTTATCTCCCAGGTGAAGTGAAGGCTGAGTCAGTGATGTAGTGATTGACAGTGATTTAATGTTTGGTGTTACAAAATTGGGATAATCGGAAGAATTGCCCTCAGTTGGGGCCTTTTGGGTAGCAGGGGTCCAGGAGCTGAGAAAGACTTTGAATTGAAAATATCAGACTGACCTGGAGCCATCAGGGTATTTGTCCCTCTCCCTCATGCTGGCACAGTCAGAGGGGGAATGTTTTCCTCTGTGCAGCACTGCCGTATGTGAGGGCTCCAGGGACAGCAAGAATGCTCCTCTTGTGGATTGGCTTGTTATTGAACAGGGAAATTGAGCTTGGGAGGGCTTAACCACTCCTGTCCCACTGGAGCCCTTGATTGTTGCCTAGCCTGAAAGCTCTAAATAGTAAACCTAATTAAAAGGGAGCAAGAAAGTACATGCAGCTTAGAAGCAGAGCACAGTAATGGGACTGATACTCTAAAGCAGTCCTGGCTGCTTGAATAGTTTCAGGTAGTGTGGCTTCTTAAATTTATATTTGATTAATTTTAGTCTTAATTTCTGTAGTGTTCAGTGAAGAACTGCAGAACAGCCTTTCATGTCACCTGTGCGTTTGACCGTGGCTTGGAGATGAAGACTATACTGGCAGAGAATGATGAGGTGAAATTTAAGTCATACTGTCCTAAGCACAGCTCCACCAAGAAAGCGGATGATGAGACTTTTAGTGAAAGCCCCAGCCAGGAGAATGGGAATGGGATTCAGGACAGCTCTCTTCCTACCCACGTTGACCCTTTCCATAGCATGGATCAAAAGCAGGAGGAGGCCCACAGAGTCAGCCACCGCAAGCAAAAGCTCCAGCAGCTGGAGGATGAGTTCTATACATTTGTTGAGTCTTCAGAAGTGGCTAAAGCACTTCGGCTGCCCGAGGAGCTGGTGGGATTCCTTTACCAGTACTGGAAGCTGAAGAGAAAAGCCAACTTCAATAAGCCTTTGATTACCCCAAAGAAGGATGAAGAGGACAATCTGGCTAAACAGGAGCAGGATGTTCTGTTCAGAAGACTGCAGCTCTTCACGCACCTCCGGCAGGATCTCGAGCGGGTAAGCGGCTGTGCTGCCCGCGCTGGCGGGGGGTGTGCAGCCTGTTGGTAGCAGTTTCCAGACCCGGTGCTCAGTTCTTGCCCTTGCCTGCAGGCACTCTGTGTTGCATCTTGACTCAAAGCTGAATTGTCAGAAAAGACCCTTAACAGAAAATTTCTGCAAAGCACAGTGGTTACACCAATTACCCTTGTCAAACAGAGGGTTAGTTCACAGGGCCAGCAGGACTTGGTGTGTAGTATCCAATCTCCTT